GGGTGGAGCTCCCTATGGGGCCACGAACCGTGTGAGAGGTGTGCAGAAAGGGACATGCGATGGGCGGGGTGGACGCATGTGAACGCGGCCACTGGGGCCTTGGGTGGAGCTCCCTATGGGGCCACGAACCGTGTGAGAGGTGTGCCGAAATGGGCATGCGGTGGGCGGGGTGGACGCATGTGTGAACGCGGCCACTGGGGCCTTGGTGGAGCTCCATATGGGGCCACGAACCGTGTGAGGGGTGTGCCGAAATGGACATGCGGTGGGCGGTGTGGACGCATGTGAACGCGGCCACAGGGACCTTGGGTAGAGCTCCCTATGGGGCCACGAACCGTGTGAAGGGTGTGCCGAAATGGGCATGTGGGTGGAATGGGCGCATGCAAACCCTGCCACTGGGGCCTTGGGTGGAGCTCCCTATGGGGCCACGAACCGTGTGAGGTGTGTGCCGAAATGGGCCTGCGGTGGGCGGGGTGGACGCATGTGAACGCGGCCACTGGGGCCTTGGGTGGAGCTCCCTATAGGGCCACGAACCGCCTGAGGGGTGTGCCGACATGGTCATGCGGTGGGCGGGGTGGACGCATGTGAACGCGGCCAATGGGGGCTTGGGTGGAGCTCCCTATGGGGCCACGAACCGTGTGAGGGGTGTGCCGAAATGGGCATGTGGGCGGGGTGGACGCATGCGAACCCTGCCACTGGGGCCTTGGGTGGAGCTCCCTATGGGACCACGAACCGTGTGGAGGGTGTGCCGAAATGGGCATGCGGTGGGCGTGGTGGACGCAAGTGAACGCGGCCACTGGGGCCTTGGGTGGAGCTCCCTTGGTGGCCACGAACCGTGTGAGGGGTGTGCCGATATGGGCATGCGGAGGGCAGAGTGCCGAAATGGGCATGCGGTGGGCAGAGGCAGGCATGGGAGGAGGGAGGAGGAGAACGCGGGGCGCTGTCTCTTCAAAACGAGGACCCAACACAGGATGGTTGGGAGCAAATGCGATCCCCAGGGTGAACACTTAAATCCGCCGGCCCCCTTGTGGGGCCACCAGGCTGTAGGCCCGTGATTCGCAGTTTCCTGTACCAGTTGTAGCTTGTAGTTTCCAGTGTTACAGTTCTGCTTCTTGCTGGTTACTGTAACTAGTTGACTTATTGCTGGTTACTGTAACTAGTTGATTGACCGCGCGAGGGGGGGGGGAGGCCCAAACAAGACTTTTAGCACCCCCTGGGCGCGTTGTCTTACCAATCGCCAGGTGTGGTAACCCCTCTTGTGATCAGTTGGTTTTGCTGATTGCGAATCGGCTTCGCATGAAGTTTCGATACTGCTTCACGACAGCGCCAAGGCCTCATGACTTAGCTCTTCCATGGCCCATTCTCCGAGAGAGGGGGCCGGCGGCAGGGGGCGAAGCCCTTACGGATCATCATCGTCATCACCATCACCATCACCATCACCACCATCATCATCATCATCATCATCATCATCATCATCATCATCATCATCATCATCATCATCATCATGAGTATCATCGTCGTCATCGTCAGCATCAGCAACATCATCATCACCGTCATCATCGTCAGCACCATTATGATTATCATCATCAGCAGCAGCATCAGTATTATCACTAAAACTACTATCATCGCCATCGGCATCAAAATCATCATCAGCAGCACCATCAAGAGCACCAGCATCATCATCAGCAGCACCACCACCACCACTATCATAATCGTCGTCATCAGCAGCAGCAGCAGCAGCATCAGCAGAAGCATCAACAGCATCATCATCACCATCATCATCAGCACCACCATCATATCATCAACATCAGCATCATCAGAATCCTCATCATCAGCGTCGTCATCATCAGCATGGTCGTCATTGTCATCGTCATGATCATCGTCATCATCACCACCATCACCACCATCAGCATCATCATCAGCATCATCCTCATCCTCATCGTCAGCATCAGAAGCAGCAGCATCATCAACATCGTCAACAACAGCATCAGCCGCATCATCGGCAGCATCATCATTACCAGCAGTATCATCAGCATCAGCATCATCATACCCTCATCATCATCAGCATTATGACCATCAGCATCATCAGCATCATCACTCCTCCTACTCCCTCCTCCTCCTCATCATCATCAGCAGCATCAGCATCATCATCATCATCATCATCATCATCATCATCATCATCGTCATCATCGTCCGCCTCCGCCTCCGCTTCCGCCTACTCCTCCGCCGTCTGATCCTCAACTCTACTCATCCTCCACTTCCTCATCCTCCTCCCCAGCCTTTTCAGTCAGGTTGATTCGTGGCGTTGAAGATCAGAGAATGGTGCTTTAGCACGCTTCAGAATCTTCAAACTGTTCTCTCCCAACGGGGCACATCCCCCAGTGAAAATGAAGCTTCGCAGGGCCTCGCAAGAGGGAATTTGGAGGGAGGATGGATTACAACATCGTTGATGAGTCTTGGGTTTACAGTGGTCCTCCTCATCCTCCTCCTCCTCTTCCTCCTCCTCCCCTTTTTCCCCCTCGTCCCCCTCCTCCCCCTCCCCATGCCTCCTCCTCCTCATCATCATCAGCAGCAGCAACATCATCAGCATCATGAGCATCATCAGCAGCAGCATCAGCATCATCATCAGCATCATCATGATCATTATCATCAACATCAGCAGCAGTATCACCATCAGCATCATCATCATCAACATCAACATCAGCAGCAGCAGCAGCATCATCAGCAGCATCAGCATCAGCATCATCATCAACATCATGACCTCATTATGCTCCTCCTCCTCATCATCCTCCTCATCCTCCTCTCCTCTCGCCGAAGCCAAGCACCCCAACAGAACAACTGCGAGAGCAGCCGATTTCGCGGTCGCGCCCATGGGTGACCTAAAACAACGAACGCAGCCAGCACGTCGAGGCCGACGCGCGCCCATGTGCCCTCAAGAGCGAGAGCTGCAGAGGTTCTCCAGGACGGGGCCCTGCGGTACAACGGTGCCGTGATGTGCCGTGCCATGGCGCGGTGCCTTGGCGCATCACGTGGTGCATTATCTTGTACACGGCCATGGAATAGACAAACCATGACCTCGCCGACCAGAGGTGCAATGCCGTGCCGTGGTGCCGTGTCGTGCTATGCATCGTGATGAGAGGGGGCATGTGTTAACCAACACGCGCGTGGTTTCGTCGGCCAGAAATGCTGCACACTCTGTGCCATGCCGTGCTGTGCTGTGCCGTGTCGTATTGTGTCATGCTGTGCCATGGCGCGCTTTCCGTACAACCGAACTCAAGCAACCAATACGTGATCTCAAAGGCCAGAAAGCCGAACCGTGCCGCGCATTGCAATGCCATCTCGTGATGTGCTGTGTCGCGGCCCCATGCCAGGGTACAACTTTGCCCTACCGGGTGATGACTCAACGCGATCCCGTCAGCTGCAGAAATGATGCTATGCCGTGCTGTCCTGTGATGCCATGCTGTGCCGTACCGTGCCATGCCGCGGCGCCGTCCCGTGGCGCAGTGCCGTGCGGCGCTGTGGCGTGGTGCGATTCTCCCAAAGCAGCGAAGGTTGCATGGGGGTCCATAAGATCGAAGACGCGGCCGCGATCTCGTCAGCCGCGGGCACCGAATGGCCCTCAACACGGGGTCTCGCCGTGCCAGGTCGTGCCGTGCCTTGGAGCCTTGCCGCACCGTAACTTGCCGCGGCATGGTGCAATGCAGGGCCATGCCGTGCAGCGGTGCGTCGTCTTAGGTCGATGATGCAGTTTGTCGGCCAAACGCGCCAGGCGCTGGGCCGCGCGAGCAGCGCCAATGATCTCGCCAGCCCAGCATGCAATGCGTGCTGTGCCGCGGCGCTGTGCCGTGGTGCCGTGTCGTCGTGCGCGGTGCTATACCATGCCGTCGTGCCGTGCCGCGCCGTGCCGTGCAGTGGCGCACTGTCGTGAATCGAAGGCGCACTGCGTTAGCCACACGCGGCTGGTACTCGGCCGCGCCGTGGTGCAGCGCCGTGCCGTGGCGTGCGGTTCGTGCTCCCATGACTGGCTCGGGTCTCAGAGGGGGGGGGGACTTTTTGCCCAGAGCTCGTCGGTGCTCGGCCTTCCGACCATCGTAGTGCCACTGACTGTGCCACTCAGCAGCATCTGCCCCCCCTTCGGCGCCCCCCACCAACCACGCCCTTTCCACCTCCCCTGGAGCCCGTCGCCCCAGATTAACAAGAGAAACCAGGACCAGGACAGAATTGGGTCGATACAGATCGGGGATCTCCTAGATCCCGCGGCTCTGGAGGATGTATCGAGTGCCGCGGCCGTTCCAGAGCGCTCCAGGACGCTCAAAGAGGGTTGCAGAACCCTCTGAAGCGATGTATTGTGGTCCTGGAGGCCCTCCCTTCCCCCCTGACCACACAGCACGGTGGCGTATGTACACCGCATCGCGACTCGATAGTTTGCGGGGCGCCCACTGCACCCAGAGCCCTGTGCAACTCAGAAGCCAACGAGGTCCTGTGGCACCTTCTTCTCCTGGCCCTCGAAATGGGCACCGATCTCGGGATTCGCCTGCAGAAGATGCTCCTTGCCAGCCACGAAGAAGCCATGGGAAGGCTGATGCTCGTATATGTGCTTTGACCGCAGGCAGTGCACGGGGTTGCAGGAGAACCAGGTGGCTGGCTGCTCTTTCGCGCACACACTGTATTCGACGTCTTCCTCCTCGCCCTTGTAGATTCCGCCCTCCATCGATCCGAGAAGCTGAACGTGCAAGATGATGTGGCCCACGCATGCCCCCAATATCGCACCCCACAAAGCGCCACCCTGAAGCTTCCCGGAACCGAGACCACCCGTGCCACTCATCTGGTTAGCCTTGAAGACGAACGCCGCCAAGAGGATCCCGCATGGAATGGAGAACAACTTCTGCGCAAAGCAACTGGTCTCGTGCCTGGCGAAGTAGAAGCGCGTGACACAACGCAGAACTTTCCACTGGTCAATGGCGTAGATCCAGCAGTGGGAGAAGATAAACCATCCGAAGATCTTATGCATGTAGGCGGGGGCGATGAAAGGAACCACCGAGACCAGAATTGCATTGAAGATCCGCCATCGTACCCTGTGCAAGTTGGGGCGTGTAAGAATGCTCCTCTGCTGCCTGGTAAGTTTCCACTCGTGTTTTCCAAGGCCGACCACACCCCCTCACCGCACGCGTCCTCTGAAAATCGCCCCCCCCATTCCCACCCCTCCAGGACCGATGTTTGGCAACTTCCCCTATCAGAGAACTGGTTCGACAATATTTTTTCCAAGAGCGGCCCCCCGCGGGGGGGGGTCAAAGTACCAAAAAAAAAAAAAAAAAAAAAAAAAAAAAACATCCAGAAGTCCACATTGCTAACGTATGTAACGAGATGTTGTTTGGAAATGTGTTGGTTCCCAGAGAGTCCCTGGCCGAGGGGGTCGGGGGGTCAAAACAGACAACACCAGTCAAAACAGCCAAACCAAATAATGGAATCAACCAGAACAACTCCCCAAGACAGCCCAAACAGCCCAAAAGCATTCTCCAGAGACAGTCAAAGCAGCCAACGGGCATCCAAGGCAGTCCCAAGACTGCCCAAGAAGGCCTCCAGACGCTGCAAGAGGGCGTCAAGATGGCCCAAGATGTCCTGAAACCGCCCAAGAGGCACCCATGACGGCCCACGAGGGCTCCACGAGGACGCCCAAGAGGCACTCGAGAGCGACATAGTATTACTCGTCTTCAGATGATGGACTGATTCTAGCCTGCTTGCCATTTCTGACCCTGAAAATCCACAGACGGCCCCACTGGTCCCCAAGAGGGCGTCAAGGGCCCAAAGGAAGCTCCAAAGACGGCCCAAGGGGGCTCTGAGGCGGCTCAAGAGGCCCTCATGACGGCCCAAGGGGGCCCCATAACGACCCAAAGACGACCCAAGAGGCCCCAATAAAGCCCAAAGAACACCCCAAGGGCCCAAGAGGGGGAAATCGAGCTGGCCGTGGCAGCCTTTTCCTACAGGATTGCCTCCGAGCCCCCAAGAGGATCCTAAGAGGCCCAGGAGGCCTCCCAGAGGTCCCCCAACAGACCACCAAAGGCCCCCCGGACGGACCTGAAAGGCTTCCAAACAGCCCTCCAGAGGCCCAGAGAAGCTCCAGCATGCGCCTTGAGCTCAACCTCCTTTGTACTGCCGCGGCGACGGGGCTTGCCGCAGACAACTGTATAACATCCGCGTAGCGTCCCTGTTCCATGATCGGCAGCTCCAGCGCCTTCTCGGCGCGCACGTCCGTCATTCGCTTGTCAGACCCAATGAGCTTCGTGCCGATGTGGTAGGGCAGCCAGCAGATCCCGATGGGCTCAAGGAAGAAAGGTACGAAGAACGTTGCGGGCCAGCAGTATTTCAGGAGCAACTTGCCCATGGACTTCTGCATGGGGTACGACTCGAAGACTTCTTGTAAGGATGTCAAGTCCGCCAGGAGGCGACCATCTGCAACGTGAACGCCACGGCCGGCCATCTGGTTATAGCTCAGCGTCGCTGTCAAAGCCAGGTCCATGGCGAGGTTGACGATCAGCGCGGTGTTGTACATAATGATGTAGAACCGTTGCTGGTCGTCCTCGTAGCGAAACCCTGCACTCTCTGCTACGTTGCTAGCGACAACGAAGAGACCGACCTGCGCCAACACGACCAACAATACGAATATGAGCTCGCCCACTTCTGGAGGCTCGTCGCCGTTGGCGTACGAGAAGGAGCCCATGTAGCGTGCATACGGAAGGTAAAGGATTACCGTCCAGAGCAAGACCGACACGCCCATGATGACCCAACCCTTGCGCAGTCTGTTGTTGACCTCGGCCTCGGGGATGGCAAAGTGCTCCCACAGAGTCGACTGTGGCTCGTGAGTCGCATGTTGCAGATCCAGGCTAAACTTCTCCTGCCCATCGCCGAACTCCACCCCCCCCTGAGCTTTCTGAACCGCCTTTGCGCAGGCCCCCTTCGTGGGGAAGACGGCGAAGGCGCTGGTCGTGCTGATCATCTTCTCCAGGGTCTCCTTCACTGCCTCCCTTCCCGCGCCTGGAACATTCACACCGGCCGCCTCCGCACCCTCTGTGTCCAGATCCACGTTCCACTTCTGCAGGGTCGTTGTGTTCACCCAGTTGAAGAGGCGTGTGAGCGCACCCAGCTCTTCTCTAGGAGGACAAAAAACGGCATTAACGTAAGCTTTCGACGGTCCGCGCGGATTTTTTGGACCTGCGCTGGACCCCCCTCCCTGGCGCGCGGAGCGAGCCAGGGGCGGCGCCGGAGGCGCTGCCAGGGTACCAGGGTGGCCCAGGCGCCGATCCAAGAAATCCGCGCAGAGCGCCGAAAGTTCATGCTCATGCAGTTTTTGGTTCTTCGGTTCTCCCTCCCCAGAGCCGGCACTGGGGCCCACGGAGGCCTCGGCCAGCAGCTCGAGGGACCTGCCGCTCCTCAGGCTCGACCGGTGCGCCCGGTCGATGCCGCTCGAGTGGTTCGTGGACCCCACGTCTGCCTCGAGGGCGGTGCGCACCGCGTGCTCGTGGTGGTGGAAGTCCCAACAGACGGACACGCCCACCAGGGGCTCGCCAGTGGCATCGGCGATGCACGTCTTCAGCGACTCCTCCAGCCTCGTGCAGGAATCGACCTAGACAACGTTTTTCGTGTTCGTGTTGTTTTCGTTGTCCCTCGTTTTGTCTTCAACCCGCCTGTGCCAGTGCCACGAAACAACATCGAAACGAAAAAGGCCCAAGAAATCGCCACAACACCGTTTAGGTCGAGCCCTGGCCTCATGTCCCCGTGGAGTGCGAGGACACTAGTTGAGGTCGAGGCCGATGGCGTCGTTGGCGTCATCGTGACGAGCGCCGCGTAGTCGGACTGTGTCGTGTGTGTCTCGTCGAACTCGTGGAACTGCCTCCTCTGGCGGCGGGCGAAGACCAGGGCGCCGGCAAACGAGAACACATAGGCAAAAGCCAGCCAGGCAACCTTGACCAGGAGGGCCCAGAATCGGATCGACAAGTCGGATCGGCAGTCGAAATGAATCGGGTATATGACTATTTTACGGTGCCCGGGCCCGTGCCCAGGTGCCCAGGCCGTGCCCGGGTGCCCGGATGCCCGGGTGCCCGGCTGCCCGGGCGATGCCCGTATGCCCAACTGCCTGAAGCCTGGCCCCGCTCGGGTGCCCGTGTGCGGGAGTGCCCGGATGCCCGGGTGCCCGGATGCCCGGGCCCGTGCCCGCGGGGCCTTGCCCGGGCGCCTGAATGCCCGGATGCCCGGGTGCCCGGCTGCCCGGGCGATGCATGTGCCTGAGGCCCGCGCCCGCTCGGGTGCCCGTGTGCCCGGACGCCCGGATGCGTGCCCGGGCCGTGCCCAGGTGCCCAAATGCCCGGGTGCCCGGGTGCCCGGATGCCCGGGTGCCCAAATGCCCGGGTGCCCGGGTGCCCGGATGCCCAGATGCCCGGGTGCCCGGCTGCCCGGGCTTCGCCCGTGCGTGAGGCCTGGCCCGGGCTCGGATGCCCGCGTGCCCGGATGCCTGGATGCCCGGGTGCCTGGATGCCCGGGCCCGTGCCCAAGTGCCCGGGTGCCCGGATGCCCGGGTGCCTGGGTGACCGGCTGCCAGATCAATACCTATCTCTGCGGTACGGCCCCGCCGCTCGGGCACCCGGGTGCCCGGATGCCCGGATGCCCGGGTGCCTGGGTGCCCGGGCCGGCCCGGGTGCCCGTGTGCCCGGATGCCCGGGTGCCCGGGTGCCCGGATGCCCGGGTGCCCGGATGCCCGGGCCCGTGCCTGATGCCAAATGGTGCCCGCATGCCCGGATGCCCGGGTGCCTGGCTGCCCGGGCGATGCCCGGATGCCGAGCTGCCTGAGCCCCGTTCGGGTGCCCGGGTGCCCGGGTGCCCGGACGCCTGGAACCCTGCATGAATCCACAAAGAACCCCACATGAATCCCAAAAGAGCCCGAATGAATCACTAAAGAACCTTACGTGGATCCCTAAAGACTCCGACATGAATCCCAAAGAAACCTACACGAATCCCTACAGAACCCTACGTGCATCCCGCAACCCAGAAATGCGAGGATGTCTCAAGCGAAAATGCCCGGACCACCATGGGGCAGGGCACCTCCGAGGTCGGAATTCGGAGAACGTCTCACGCGCAAGTGGCCTGAACACCTGAACTCAGGGCATATACAAGATCATAGTGTCGAGGATGTCTCAGGCAGAAGTGGGCAGACCACCATGGGACAGGGCACATCCGAGGTCAACGTTGCGAAAATGTCTGTGGCGGCAATGGCCAGAGCACCTCACCTCATCTCACCTCACCTCACCTCACCTCACCTCACCTCACCTCACCTCACCTCACCTCACCTCACTACTACTACTACTACTACTACTACTACTACTACTACTACTACTACTACTTATACTTCTACTTATACTTATACTTCGACTTCTTCTACTATCACTACTACTACTACTACTACTACTACTACTACTACTACTACTGCTACTGCTACTGCTACTGCTACTGCTACTGCTACTGCTACTGCTATTGCTACTACTACTACTACTACTACTACTACTACTACTACTACAACTACTACTACTACTACTAATAATAATAATACTACTACTACTACTACTACGACTACGACTACGACTACGACTACTACTACTACTACTACTACTACTACTACTATTACTACTACTACTACTATTACTACGACTACTACTACTACTACTACTACTACTACTA